CCCAGATCCGTGCCGCAGGAACAAGGACCCCCCGACGACAGCCTCAGGGCCTGCTGCTGCTCACTTGCTCGGCTGCCGCGAAACCAGAAGGGCGCCGGTAGCCGCGAGCTCCACCGCCCTGGTACTCCCTATGGCCCTCACTTTGGAAAAGAATGCTCGGCCGATCTAGCAGGCGCCGCTCACACCACCGACGCCAGCCCGGACACGGAAGCCACCTTGTTGTCCTCGGCCCAGGGCTGCAGGTTCTGCAGCGCGAAGAGTGACGAGTTGTGCAGGCAGAGCGGGTCCGGGGGCAGCGGCGGCCGCAGTGGCCGCGGCAGCGCGTCCTGTTGCAGGTGCAGGAGCAGCCGGCCCGCTCGGTGCCGCTCGGCCTCGCGCTCCTCCGCCGTCTGGCGCCTGGGCGGGTGGAGACACCGGGTCAGCGACGCCTGCCCTCGCCCACGCGGCGCTGCACCGCCACCTGAGTCGGTCCCCAGGCCCTGTCCGCCCTCGCCCGCGCGGTCTCACCGCCACTTGGTGCGTCGGTTCTGGAACCACGTCTTGACCTGTGCGTCAGTCATGCGCAAGGCCTTGGCCAGAGCTGCCCTCTCCGCCGACGCCAGGTACTTCTGGCGCAGGAAGCGCCGCTCCAGCTCCAGCACCTGCGAGCGGGAGAAGGACGTGCGCGGCTTCTTCCGCTTCGGGGGGGTCCGATTTTGGTAGGGGTGGCCTATGCGGCGCGTCCCAGAGAAGGGCGAGAGCGCGGCTACGGGGAGGAAGAGAGAGCAGGGCAGGGGTTGCGGGGTGGCCCGAAGTGTCACTGAGAAGGGAGCACAGATGTCCAGGCCACAGTGCTCCGCACTCAGTCCTTACACGAGCCCCAAACTCGCCCCGCATCAGCGGGGCCTGTAGACAAGAACGGACTTCAGAGAAAAGGCCCGTCCTCCCGGTGAAGGAGGGACATCCCCCATAACTGCGCCCGCCCCTCCCCGCGGCGCCGACGGCAGCTCCTGACTGCCTCTCAGCTCAGGACAAGACGTGCGTGCTGGGGAGGACACCGGGATGGTCCCTGGGGAGGGATGACAGGGGTCCTTGAGTGGGAGCCGACAGACAGGAGATGAGGACACGGGGGCAGAGTGGGGCACGGTGCAGGAGAGGTCGGCCACTCACCAGTGAGCCGGTCCTTGGCAAAGCGGCGGCCGCTGTCCATCCAGGGGAAGGTGAGTCCGGCTAGGCCCCCGGCGCCGCCCAGACCCGAGGGCCCAGGCACTGCGGGCGCGCCTCCCGCGGGCGGGGGCACCGGCCGCGGGGAGGGGCCGCAGGGACGCGGATCACGCCGCTCGGGCCCACTCCGGGGCCGCCAGGCAGTGGGGCCAGCGAACCCGCGGGGCCGTAGCCCGAGGCTCCGTGAAATCCACCCGGGAACACCGCATTATCCCCATGAGCCTGGCCCGCACGACCCGGGCCTAGGCCGCCCCCGGGGGGTTCGGGGCCGCTCAGGATCTGATCGATGCCAAAGCTGATTGGCTCGTGGTGCGGAAGGTGGTGCGGAGCCAGCAGCGCCGGCTCCATGGGTCCCGGCCTGGGAGGACCGCCAGAGGTTCGGCGATGGGGGAGGATGCCTGGGCGGCTCTGGAAGCTCAGCGACCGCTCGCTCCGGGCGGCGGCCTCAGGGGCCCACGGGGCTGACCACGGCGGGGCGGGGCTGACCACGGCGGGGGGCCCGGGCCCCCAGAACAGCAGCATCCCTGTACGCCCGGAGCAGCAGCGCGGGTGCCCGCGGCAGCGGGGCGTCCGCGTGGGGACTTTCATCCCGGGGATCTCGGCGTGCGGGGACCTCGGGGGCTCTCCTGCTGGCTCCGAAGCGCAGACCGACGCTAAGCTGCAGGGGCGGCTGCCCGAGTCCCGGGTTGGAGAGGGCTGGCTAGTTCAGGCTGGGGCAGTGACTG